AGTAAAGTTGTAGAATTGCAAATGCATACTTGAAGCTTTTTCCCCCCAGAAAGTTCCCAATATGTTGGCATTTGCTCAGTGTCTAAGGGGATAATTGCGTAAGTAATTGGTATTTGTTCTAAGCCTTATCTGTATGTAGTCAGGGAGAGGATCTTACCCTACAGTTTGTCCTTGAAGTCACTGGTGGTAGAACTGCATGATACAAATATACTGAATGAACTAAACTAATGAATAAATGCACACGCCTTTACATTTAATCCTAGATATTGTTTTAAAACTTTGAATCAGTAGGGAAACCTAGGTTGTTATTTAATCGATGGGTTAAAATTTACTAATATATTTTTTATTTTAATCTTCCAATTGTCCCAGATTTTTTCTGCAGAGGCTCTTTCAAGATGCTTCACTTGTCCCTTTCACGTGTCCTACTGATTATGTAAATACTTCCTTGCTTCATGATATATATTTAAAATATATTCCAAATTTATCCTGTTCTCTTTCTTCCCCAGCTCTGGAATTTGTCTTTCCTCCCCAAGGAACCCTGTTCCTTTTAGGGAAGAATGGTATATTTAGAAACCAAGATACAGTAATTTGGCTTGTTTATTGCTATTGGTGGACCATTACTGATAAGCCCTTTCAGTGGACAGAGATAGGAAATATATAGAGATATTTCAAATATACATATATGTAATATATTAAGAATATAAGAAGAAATAAATCTTGGCTTATTATGAACAACACATTAACATTTTTAAAGGGAAAATACTTGTTGTCTACATAAAGTGGGCCTAAAAGTAATAATATTCATATGGAGCAAAGCACACTAAATAGATTTAATAGTTAAACATAATATGTCTTAGAATCTTAGGTATTGGAGGAGATATTTTCTAGAACTGTCATCTAGGTGTTATAGACCAGACCAGCAGTTCTCAACCTGTGGGTTGCAACCCCTTTGGGGGTCGAAAGACCCTTTCACAGGGGTTGCCATTGGAAAATACATATATAATTACATATTGTTTTTGTGATTAATCACTATGCTTTAATTATGTTCAATTTGTAACGATGAAATTGGGGGTCACCACAACATGAGGAACTTTATTAAACGGTCACGGCATTAGGAAGATTGAGAACCACTGGACTAGACCCTTGCAGTGTGTTTGGATCTGTTAGAATAGAAAAATAAGATTGAGACAAAAGCTTCTCCTAATCCTTCCCAATGCTTTTAACAGCATGGTGAAAGCATATTAAGCACTCATTACACCCGGAATTTTGAATGCATATTTATGAAAGGAGTAAAACAAGGAAGTAGTGACTCTATTTACTTAGGAACAATACTAATGTGTTCTCTTTGGATAAATACAGTAGCTACAGAGGCAATACTAGCCATTTCATTTAGCAATGGCTTATCATTTGGCTACCAACATGGATAAGTTGTTTGAAAAAGATGAGAAGTTAGGAACATAAAAATAATCAGGATTTGCATTACAAAAGCCCTATGAGTATATATTCAAATTCTTACAGAGTTTTCTCACAGCATGTCATAGAGGACTTTTTTTCTAATGGTTTGTCTCTTCCCTATTACATTGAAAACCAGAGTTTCTCTACTTGGTTTACTAATCCCAAAGATTAATTCAATAGAAGTAGAGACTTATTTTTACTGGTTCATTCACTTTATCTAGAAAAATATAGTTTGAGATTTTAAAGTTTGTTTTATGTGGTATAATAAAACAAAGATTCCTATTATAACACATCATATACACACTTGCTCACTATTGCATTGTTATAATTTAGTGACCTGAAAATAATGTGAAACATATTTACACATATATATTATATGTGTAATTTTTATTTCAGAAATAATAGAAAAGAAAGTAAATACCTGAAGAAGCCACAGCTGTGATATAATAAAAAAGGACAAAACAATATCACATGATCTCACTCATACGTGGTATATAATGATCAACATAATTTGATGAACAAAAATGGATCCAGAGACAAATGGCAGGGGAGGTGGAGGGTTAGAGAGCAAGCAAAGGACTTGTATGCATGCATATTAGCATAACCAATAGACACAGACACTGGGGCAGTGGGGGCTTGCCAGGGGAGGGAATGGCTGGGAGGGGGGGGCGGTCAATCAGGGGAAAAAGACATATGTAAAACTTTAGACAAAAAAATAACATGTTTCCAAATGAAAAAAAAGGACACAATGAGTTAACCAGTGTTAGAAGGCAAGATTAACAATTATTAAGGAGCTACAATGTGATAAACACTATATGTATTATATTTTTATTTAATCATCTTAACAATGTAATTGCTAGAGCTATTATTCCCATTTTATAGAAGAAGAAACTGACATTACTGCCTTGTTAAACTCAGTCAACTTTGTGTGATTAATACATTGTGGAGATTGAACTCAAACCCACATATGTTTGACACTAGATCCCACACTAGATCACATAAGGCTTTGCTCTGCTCTGTCCCTTTTCAGTGACAACTTGCTAAATTGATTCTTTGTGTTTTCTTCTGAAAGAGAAGGATGTTGGCCTTTGTTCTACCAATCAGTAGATGTGTTCACCACACATCATAGTTTTTTAATGGTCAGCATTCATGATTTCAAATTAACTATGACTCAGTGATGCTTTAAACTTCATTTTAATTTAATTAATTAAAACAGATCTGTATACATTGAAAAGTATAAGTTGTGACAACAGCATAGAAATATTTTTTTAAGTAACAATTCATATCTGAAAATGAACCAAAGATACATGGGGAAGGTGTGAACCACACATATGTGGCTGAAAGCTAACCTGGAGTCATCTTAAATGACTTTATTCAAAAGGGCTGCCTAAAGGCAGTCAGATCCCAACTGAGAGTCTGTGAAGATATGGACTCCTGAGACCCAAATCCCAGTCAGGTGCAGGAGAGAGATACCTACCAATGAGTGGGGAGATGAGTAAATGGTCTGAAGAGCCCTCCAAGGAACTGAAACCCCCTGGCAGGGAAAAAGAGAAGGGTCAGCTGTGACACCTGCCAAGCCAGAGAGCAGTGATGGCAGCTCACAAATACAAGCCTTGCAGCAATGTTCCTGTGCCCTCACCTCTCCTTCCTTCACCCTCTTGAACCCTAGAATCGTCAGAAACAGTGCAAGTTAACAATTGTGAAGAGGTAGAAAGACAAGTTGGGAAAGTAGAAGAGTATCTATCCAAGCCATACTTTATACTGCAAGCCTGCCTTCTGTTGCATAGCTGATTAGCTGAGTGCAGAAGCTTTAATTTTGAATGAAGCTTGAAGTTTTTATTATTGCTTTAGCTACACCTATCAGTTTCAGAAGTGAAATAGTTTTAAGTGACAAAAGTACCAGGAGAATTTATTATTTAAGAGAGCTTTGGGGACCAACCACGATGTTATCTAGGGGAAGGAAAAGAATTACCCCATAGAGCATATTATAAGGAACATTATGAGAAAAAAGTTACTTAATGATTTAATTTTGTCAATTGGTTTCCTTCACAGTATCATCATATATCTATACATCCACCTATATATAATGTACTAAAAATATGCATTTATATATGTGCATGTATCAATGGAACACATTTTTCAGTTTTCTTGATTTTTAAAAATTTCTTATGTGGTTATTCTCTCAATTTTATTTCTATATATTCTTTCTAAATTCTATAGTTATAAGCAGATAAGGGTAAAATGCTTATATGTAAGATTCTAAATGTGTTTTTCATAATTGATAAAGTCATATTTTATCTAAACCCCATATGTCATGTGATATATTTGACACTCCATCATACTTGCATGTGACTGTTTATAAAACACAAATCAACTCAAATCAACAGGACCAGAATTAGATTCAAAAAAATGTATCCAATAATATGTGTAAGATGAGGCAGAATGCATTCTAATTGAGTTCACAGAGGATTTGAAATTAAATATAAACCTGTAATATATTACTTTAGATATGAATTAATATTAGATTTCCATTCACAAAAAGGTATTATGTTTACCTTTGATTACCACTTAGACAGAACTTTAGGACAGATATCCTATCTTTACTCTCTCTTTTCCTCCCCTGCCACCTGAATGTCCTTGAAAATCTGTCCATCTTGATTATCAACGTTCACTGTTTTTGAGGAATGTAGAGGACATAAGATTTACAGTTTGGTGGGAGATAGAATGCAATTAAGAAATATTTTTATGAGTGCAGAAAAATTTTTGTTTTTAAAGGGGTAACACTTTTAATATCTTAAAAAGTGATTTGTCAAATACTGAGTTTTAGATATTAAGTCTATCAAAGATTAAAAAGCACAAGAGAGTTTCTTATAAATAAGTGTTCCACATTTAGCTTAAAGAACTCATTTAGGACATAGTATTCTATCAGTATGTGGGCATTAAGGAAATGTTATTTGAAACAGATAATAAAAATTACCATATTTTAGGTCCTGTGATTTAGAATTTAGTATTGGTCATAACATGAACCCTAAAGCCACCGTTGATTCATATATATATATATATACACACATACACACACATATCTATATATAAATATTTTAGTAAACAAAAGCCATTAATGGCCTATAATGATCTCATTCTCACTAGTATAATGTAGGATGAAGTATATAAAATATTTATGTATATTATTTCATTATTAACAAATGACTGAAAAAATAAAACCCTCAAGAATATTATAATAAATAGTTATTGATACTCAGCATTACTCTGAAAATTTGCTTAAAAATACTGGTTTTAATTTCATGCATCATTAGACACCCCTAATCTCCTACCCAAGAGCTGTTGTACTCCACTATCTCCTTTTTCTTCAGATTGGCCGTGATCCCAGATAAAATACTCACCTTCTCAGACCCTGTTTCAGTCAGGAATGACCATGTAACAAAAGTTTAGGCAATGTGATAAAGGTATGGATCTGCTAGAGACTTCTGGGAATGTTTTTGTGTATCTAATACAGGCACTCTCTTTGTACCTTTCTGTTTTTCTAGCCTCTAGCACAACGGAAAAGGGAGATGCCGTCTTGCCTCTATGATTCAGCAAGCATGAAGATAAAACTTCACTGTGATCATGATGGAGCCAAATGACAGAAAGGACCTAGACTCCCTTCCTTCACACGTCTTGTTATGTGAGGAAAATAAAATGCTGTTGTAAGTTTAAGCTACAGAGATGGGCTTCTACCTCATGTAACTAAATATGTCACAATTCACACAATATGAATAAAATTGGTAAAAGTATTCATTTTCAAGGCTTAATCTGAGAGACCCATGATACCTAACATAATCAAATCTCCAAAAAATTATAGTTCTTTAATTCATTGTGATTTTGAATTGACCTTTCACAGTCTTTTAGTTACCAAACTATTAAATACATTTTAACATTCAAATCTGTGAGTAATGCAGATGAATCCTGTTAATTTCTTGGTGTGAGTATGTTTGTCTGTGTGTATGTGCATATGTGTGTGTATATGTACCTATATTTCCTGGGGTACTCAATGCTAGTTATCTTCAACCCATTACTTAAATCTCTTCATCCAAGTTCCACTTCCTTAGGCAATAGATCCTAATATATCCCATTAAATATATCCTAAGTATATAATATATCACATATAAATTATATAATCTATACTAATAAAAGTAATATGCTAATTAGACCAGGAGACCTTCTGGATGTCCTTCCAAACAAAGCCATGGTGGTGAAAAGGAGACAGAGGCAGTTAGGGGCAATAGGCCGGCAGG